CTTGGCTGTGCCAAGCAACGGAGACCCTTTTTGCCCCCTCGCTTCTGGTCACGTCAGAGGGGTGGGGAAGGGACCGCTGGTTTCCACCAGAGAAGTTGAGAAGGTCCTCTTCCAGATGGAGGGCGCTGACATTCAACCAGGTCATTGGCTCAGGGCTGCTGCTTTTCCTGGTTGGGGCTGGCGAGGGAATCTCTGCCAGAGCCACGTCAGCAGACCTTCCGTGGAGTCCCTTCCTCAGGGCACCCCCGTGGTCAATTCAGTCAGCTGTCTCGTCTCAGGCCGGGAAGCGTCTGACCTGCAACAGTAAGCCAGACCCCCAAGGGCGCCATTTGGGCCCCTCTTTGGGGGGCTTGGCTTAGGCATTGGGTTCCTGACCTTTGATCCCTGCAGGCAGACCCAACGAAATCGGCCTTTTCCTCTCGGCAAGCTCCAGGGTGGAGTGTGACCGACAGCCTTCTTTGGTCTTTGTCGGCAGGGTTTTCTCGCTTGGCGTAGCGTATGCGCTGCCGCCTCCGCCCGTCCCCAGCCGCGCTCCGGCAGCCCTCTTTGCCGATTGGCAGAGCGGGAGAGGACGGTTGCTAAGGACGAAGGCAGTTTCTCCACTGATTCCCCCAGCGGTGAGGAAACTACTCTCTTGGAGCAGCTGTTCTCGCCCCACGTGCAGGCATTGATTCATTGCCTCTCGGGAAGAAAAAAACTTTCCTCGAGAGGGGCTTGTAAGGAAACGTGTCCAGTGGCAAAAAGATGGTTTTATTCTTTTCTCGGGCGGGAGCTGTTGCTGCCTGAACCCTTTCAAACTATCATCAAAGTGGTTTCCTCCCTCCTGGGGGGAGGAAGAGAGGAAAGGAGGGAAGGTGAATGCTTAACATGATTTAATATATAAACTGGAGCCATTTTAGCCCAGTGAGATCAAGTCAAGGCTGGGTGAATAAGAGCCTTGTTAATACAGAAGGGGTGTCAGTGTGCATTACCATATAGCTATCGGCCGTTTGGGTGGATTTCCTTTTCTTTCTCTTTCTCCAGGTCTTGTAGCATCACAACGGTGCCTTGTGCCCTGAGGATCTGCATTGTGCTTTGTTAATACTTTGCATTGCAAACACACACACTCATTTAAAGCAGTAACGATATGAGGTGTGAATAGAATCACTCAGTGATTATTAATCCAAATTGTAATTTGACAGGTGGAGAAATTCCATTGGTCATCATTTCAGTGACAGCCAATTCAGCCCTAGCTGATGTGACTTTTATCTCCTGGATATGCATGACCAGCATTCAGGAACTTGTGCAACATTTTAAATCCTCTGACTCTGTGTTGATTCCCCTCCCCCTCTCCCCCCCCCCCCCC